CGTGTTTTTTTTTTTAATTATAATGAATTTGTACTGTGAGTGATTTTATTATTATCGTTCAAGGGTATTTTGCCATTTAGCGTCAATGGTAGAATACTGTTGTACATTTATGTGATTAAGTGATAGTGATAATTTTTTTTTTTTAGTGCAGCTACATTATAATATGAGTGACAAAAAATTGCAAAAGATTGAGGAGACTGTCTCCTTCTCCTCCTTCTCCTCTTCTTCCTCCTCGGTTCAGCCGAATACTATCACACTTGATCTAACAGTTCCATGTGAGTCAAATCGAATTATTTCATAGCCTCATCGAGATTTCCGATGAGGTGGATGATCTGACTCAAGTAAAAATAAATAAAACTGAGTTCGACCGCCTCATCGGCAATCTCGATGACGTGGTGGAGGAAGAGGAAGTGGAATAAGAGAGTGTCTCTACTGGAGGAGTCATGGAGAAAAGCGTCTTCACTGGAATCTTGGAGGAAAGCGTCTCCGCTGAAGTCTCGGAGGAGAGTGTCTCCGGAGTTTCTGGAGTTCTGGAGGATCCCTCTCCTCCTTCCCCTCTGGAATATCCAGCTAAAGCGATAACGCGACTATTCGATCAAATCAACGAACTGAATTTAGGCATACCTTTCCTTAGCGCCCTGACGATTGGGATGGGGGAGGAGGAGGAGGAGAAAGAAGAATAAGAACTAGCGGAGGAGAGTGAGATGTACAGAGAAGGTAAGAATATTCTATTATATATATTTATATATGAAAAAATATATATATATATATGTATGTGTTGCGGTAGTGGCGGCGGCGGCGGCGGCGGCCGCGACAACGGCAACGCCGGGATCTTCTCGCGCCTCCCCCTCTCCTCCCGCGCCTTCCTCCGCACCAACGAGTACCCCCCGCGCTCTCCTCAGAGGATCTGAGTTAGAACCCCTCATATTAATACTACTATTATACGTAGTAAAAAGACATAAAGTAGGCTTAAAATGGCATTTGACGTAGGGAAGAGTACTACTACAACCGTCTACTGATATATGTATATTGCTAGTACTGACAGTGTACATCGATACACGGCCGTGTAGTAATGTCTTTCCTTATGTTCAATGTTATTTTAGATCAAGATGTAACATATGTATTGTTAATGTATGGATCGTATTACACATATGAGTAGCTACGTGTACATCTATATCTGCATGAATATCAGCAGTATATGGGCAACCATGGAAAGTCAAAACAAACCTCCTCCACGCAGTCTCCCTCCGGCGCCGTGGGCGTGGCCTAGGCGTGCCCTAGACGGGTCCGTCTGGAAAAAGGGCGCGCTCTGATTGGTTGAGGAGTAAAGGATGAGAGTAATAGGATAATTAAATGATGTGTTCTGATTGGTTCGCCCTATACTTGCCAAAGATTTGATTGGTTCACTCCATACCTACCCATAAGGTGAATGGAGAGGCTGGCTGGTAGAGGGCCTTAGACAAAATGGAGGGTAAAGTCTAAAAAAAATGGTAAGTGGAGATTGGGACTGCAACATTCTTTTGTCGCGAGGGCAGAGTACGAACAGCGGAGCATGAATAGCGATCGAATTTATGACGGTTTTTTTGTTGTCGCGGCGCAACATCTTCTACGTGTTGGCGATTTAGTGAATGTTTTTTATGTATGAGAGAGGAGATCTTATACAAAAATTTGCAAGTTTAGAGAGAGTCTTGCTTTTGTTCAGAAGAATTTGGAGGAAGTAAAACAGGAACGAACATGTTCAACTGGCGACGCGACGTCTTCGAGCATTGCTTTAAAAAAATTCTTTCTATATTTTATGTATTTAATATACATAATCTGAGTCTGTAATACGAGAAAAAATGTATCTATTGTAAATGAGGGTGAGGGAGATAGGAGTAAGAAACAGGCAATATTTACAAGTTCAAAACGTTTATTTAAAAGAGATATTACATAAAATAATTATTTTATTTTTTTGGAAGAGTACACGTTTGAACATGACGGCATACAGCATGAGAATTTACGAATTTATGTTTAAGGGTGCGCAACTAAGTGTCCGGGTTTTTTTGATCAATGAAAAATGGAAAATTTCAAGAGAAATACAAAAAATGGTTTATTCAAAGTATCGTCCCTTGCTAGCTACACATTTTTGCCATCTCTCTGGCAATATATGAATACCGCGACGATAAAACGACGCGTCTTTGGACCGAAACCATTCATTTAACCAATTTTGCACTTCTTCGAAATTGGCCAAGTGTAGCCATCCGGTTGATGGCCAAGCCATGCGCCATCGACCGGAACAAGTGATAATCGGAAGGGGCCAGGTCTGGCGAATACGGCGGGTGCGGATCCAATTTTAATGGTGTACTGGACGATGGAAGTGCGATGGCACGGAGCGTTGTCGTGCTGCAATATCACTCGTTCGTGTCTCGTGTCCCATTCTGGCCGTTTTTCGAGCAATGCATGGTTCAAATTGATCAGTTGTTGTCGGTAGCGATGCCTATTGACAGCCCATTTTCAGCAGCTCATAGTACACGATTCCTTTCTGGTCCCACCAAACGCAGAGCATTATCTTCTTTCCGAAGCGATTTGGCCGTGCCGTCGATGTTAATGCTTCGCCAGGTGAAAGCCATGATTTTTTGCGTTTGGGATTCTCGAAATATATCCACTTCTCATCGCCAGTAACAATTCGATGCAGAAAACTCTTTCTTTCATGCCGCAAAAGCAAAATTTCGGAAGTGGCTCTTCGATTTTCCATCTGTCTTTCAGTCAACTCATGCGGCACCCATTTTCCTTCCTTTTGAATTTTTCCCATGGCATGTAAACGTTTGGAAATACCTTGGCGAGTCATGTTTAATGCCTCCGCAAGTTGATCTTGTGTTTGCGTATCATCTTCATTCAATAACGTTTGCAGATCGCGTCCTCAATTGTTTTTGGTCTTCCGGAGCGCTCCTTGTCCACAGTGTCGAAATTGCCACTTCTGAAGCGTTTAAATCAATCTTCACAAGTAGTTTTCGATGGTGCATGTTCGCCGTAGGCCTTCTCAAGCAAACGACGTGCTTCAGCTGCATTTTTTTTCAAGTTAAAGCAGAAAAGCAAAGCTTCCCGCAAATGCTGTTTATTTGGCACAAAACTCGACATCTTCGTTGTTAGAAAAAATATTTTTGCGTTGCGATATGTGTTGGTATTACGACTGGTTATTGTTAACAGATGTCCAAGCTATAAAAAAAACACAACTTCAGACATGTATGTCGACTACATGTGTCGTTAGCGCCATCCATGTGTGAAACCCGGAAACTTAGTTGCGCACCTAGTACAATAAAGAAAAATTTTATGAAATAACTGTACAATTAATCGATCATTTCGCTTACAATCAGAGGTAAACAGATCAAGAAACTAATTAAGATATATAGATGAAGATATATAGAATGGCTATAATTAAGATTATAGCCATTACACAAAAAATATAGAAATACACAGCAGTATTGTCCACAAGTTTGAGAAAGTATTCCTTGCAGCGTTGTCGTATTCCTTTGATACGTGATTGAGTTTCGTCGAAGTCGTAAGAGGAATCTTGGATCTAAGGGCGGCAAGCCGTAGCTATCGAAATACGTTCCTATTCCGTGTTCATCTATGCAGAAGGCGATCCAGTGTTGGTCAGGTCGATCATTATCATCCGTGTTAACGACAATAGCAGTCGACCTCATCCACCCTTGGCAGTCGATCGGCAGGATAGACTCCCGCATGTCATATACTGAGATGATGTAATGCGTGTAAAACTTCCAGCGAATTAATTTCTCGTCGTCGGAGAGCGTAAGAGAGAAAATGTTTGTGTAAATTCAAAATGTACCTCTTTTGCAGACGTATGTAATGTGGAGCTCCCTAAAATGCTCGACGCTTGCAAGACGCTAGTGTTAGCTTTATCTCTATCGGTCGACGAGTCGAATTTTGAAAGATCTTTTTTCTCCTCGTCTGTCGCTTGTTTGTCCTCACCTTTGGTTCGTCTTTTCCGTCGCGATATTTTTCCTCCACGTTTCAATGTTGCGAATGATATCGTGTTTCTGATTTTTAAATTGAATTGAAGAATTCTCGCTGTCAGTTTTTTCACTCTCGACGCCGCTCTCACTCCAATTTTCTGAGGGAAGGCTATTGTAACTTGAATTGCAGCTATGTCGTACAGTTAGCCAACGTTTTAATTTGTAAGCGTTGCGTAAGACGCAATATAATTCGATGCTGGTTCGAAATCCGTGATGCATGCAGCGTTGTCCACGGCCTTCGAAATCTGGTAGATTTTTGAAAGCCGGAGAAATTTCTTCCACATTATATACGTCTCTAGAAAGTAGATTGCTCAGATAACGTGCCTTCTCTTATCCTATGAAATAGATGTAGCGTGTGTGTCGTGTAATGTCACGCAGATGTATAGTGAAGTTTTTTGGATTAACGTCTCCATTGAACCATTCGATTCCGTGATAATTTCGTGTAAGCCAATTATTTTCTCGTCTTACTCTCTCGGGTAAATCTTCAAATGGACAGGGTAACGTCATAATGTTCGGTGATCGCATTAATCGCTAGAACCGCGACTTCTTTCGGAATAAAGTATTCTTCGACATCGTGAAAACCTTGTATGTCGATGACTATATCCATTATGATATTCGAATTTTCGCTACTCTTTTTACGTCACGAAACGTTGGCGTTGGTGTCGCGAACAAGACTGAAGCTTTTTCATCATCTTGCGTCCAATTAGATGAGAAAAAAATGTGTAGTGAAGGAAAATAATTTTCTCGCGGAAGCAATAAGACTAACTGGAAAAGTCGATAATGGCTTGACGCGAAGAGTCGATTTTTAAAATGTTATCAAACTCGACATAAACGATACAATTAATAGTCATGGAAAGAGCTTTTTCGAATCTCACTTCTAATCGTAAGCTTCCGTGTTTTACGAGATTCCAATGTCCCGCACAATTAGCGGATAGATCGGGAGTAAGATCGAAAGCGAAAAGAGTGTAGCCGTTGGCGTAATCGTCTCTACTTATATTTAGAATTACCCTCGTTCAGAAAGTGAATGTCAGTTCCCGAGAATAATGTATGATAAGTTTCAAAGTAAAGCGGCTCGTTTTTCGAAAAATTTGGTTGTATCAGTCTATTAGGAATTTGCATGTCATCGGCGTACAGCGAAAAGAAATTTATTCTATTATTTTTGAAATTAAACGGATTTAGTTTTCTATCGCCGTTAAACGCCTCGCTATCGACAAAGCCGACTATTATTTGTTTCGATAGCTGTCCGAGTATTGCGTTGTCTATCGATTCCCCCACGACGTCGGCGTGTATCGTGAATATTTTAACTTCAACTCTCGTAAAGGGATACTTGGCGATAGTTTTACTCAGCATTCTAGCGTGTGCGAGTAGTACATCCACGCTTACTTTTGCTTTTCTTACGAATAGACTGGCGTCAAGAATGTGTATTTTTGATATCGTTTTACTCTCCATAAGACAAAATGAATCTTTTGATCGTACGAGTCTCATTCTAACCTCCACTCCGTTAATTAAAAATTTATCTTGATTGAAAACGTCGCAGTGAAGGTGACCAATGAGATCTAGCGCGTGATTTCCTTGAATGTATTGCGTGCGCCTCTCCAGCACTATATTTGGATTTGACGAGTCTAACGTGTCGTCCATATAATCAGGAATATCCGCGTCCCATAAGCAAGAGGTTAGATGGGAGGTTTTTGCGAGTGAAGCATAATTTAATAATGCCTTAATGTACGCGCGGTACGCGTAAGCGTTGTTTGGCGATATGAACTTTTGATTGAAATATACGTCGATTTGGTTGAACATGGAATGCAGTAAATGATTTACGGGGTCTACTTTTGCCCTGCTGTCGGATGCGACTGATGTGCTGTTCCCGCGCTCGCTTTCTACGCGTATGCGAAGGCTCAACATGGTGTGAGTGAGGTCCAGATAGTCTTCTCCATGTCCGGGTATGACGAATTCTATGGGCGAGTCGTCCGCTAGCGAAGTTACGGGTTTGTAATAAATCCATTGCGAACTCTCAGTGCTGGTTTGCGTACGAGGCAGAGAGAAGAAATCGAGTTCGCTCTTTATACACTCACTTGAGTGGGTATGAAGAAAGGACTACTTTTTCTCCAGCCACAAAATCGTATCTCAATTAAGAGAATATGTCGAATACGTCGCGTTTCTTGATACGATGTTTCCTAGCGGATAGTTTTTTGATTTTTCTTTCTGCATCACAAATTATCTTTTTCTTCTTCGTCACTTTTGTGCTCTTCTTCCCTGTGGTACTTCTTGATAATTTTCTTTTGACTCCTTGACGTCGATGATTTATGATGCGCGATACGTCTATCTCAATCACCGAGTGGAAATTGAAACGCCGTGGATTTCGTGGGTTTTTTTTATCCAGGCCCCCTTATTAGGAAGCTTATTTTTTTTTTGGCTTTTCTCTTCAGATTACCCCTCGATTCCGCGAGCCGACTTTTGACCGCTTCCTTTAAAGGTTTATTATTTTCTTCTATCACGCTTAATTCCAGCGCGTAAAGCTTTTTTCCGACAGCACGCGCACCTTTATTTAGTTAAGGTAGTTTTCTAAATAACCCGCCGAGAAAGCTTTCGATTTTATGTCTGCGTTGGTAGGGTGAACCGACGAAAACACGAGGAATTCCATCTCTGCTACCAGTGTCCCGCGCATCGAAATACTCCTTATATTTCATTGTGAGTTGTTAACTATAGACTGGCATTACCGACACGCTCGCATACACGAAAAAAAGTTATTGCTTACGTTTAAAGTGCAGCGTCGCAGTCAGTGTACCGAATTCGAATTGAATTTTCTTTTCAAGATAATCTCTTATATTTATTTCGATCATTCTGAAATTTGTTCGTTGCAATGAGATATAATTTGAAAATGAGAAATGCTTTACCAAATTTGCACCAAATGCGTAATTATGACTGCGTATCTCGATCGCTACTATTCTGAGAAAAGGAATAAGCCTATCACCTATTATATACGAGTAAGGCGCACAAATATCACAATATACGAACAGGGTTTCGCTTTCCAATAACCGACTGTATGTCGTTGCCCTGTCTTCTTATTAAATCCGTGAGTAAGAAAAGTTTTCTCTTCTGTCTCATTGGAATTAGGTTTACGTATCGCGAGCTTGGAATAAAATTTGTTTTTACTGAAAATTGCTGTTGAGAAACCTAGCATTCGTAGAAAATTATCGGAAATGTTTATATGATGTAGCACTTTACATTTTTCATCACAGTTAATACTTATGTAGACTTTGCTGCCAGACACTCTTTGCTGTTCGAAATAAAAATGCGATTCGGCATCTTTACACGCGATATTAATCGCCTCAATAAGCTCATGGATATCGTTGTAAATTCCATTTGGAAATGAAGCTTCTTTCGCTGTAAACGGGCCATTCGTCTCCTCATCGGGTTTAACATTGACGAATTTAATCACATTTTTGTTATGATGTACGTGTAAAAAGGTACAGGGAAATTGAATCTCACTTATCGCAACCTCTCATTATCCGTGCAACACTATAGAGGTAATTCCGTGATGAAAGACGACGTTGTATTATTCGGAAAATGACGCATACTGCTGTTACTCAGAAGAATCAGAAGAAATTGTTCTTCCTCTATCGCGAAGAGAAATTAAACTCGATGCCGGAATCCAGGTATCAAACTTATTGGGATAACCACGCCAACTAACTAGCACTTGCTTATTAGCTCCTCGCCCTCTACTCTTTATCACGCGATCAACGATAAACTGTTCATCCTCTAAGTTTTTCTCAACTCGAGGTAATTCTTGCTCATAAAAAATATCATCTATGACTTTGTCTGCTAAATCTCGCAGCTCGTACACGTGAGGGTTTCGCCAATCAAGAACACGATAAATTTGAAATATCCTCGCTCCACTTAGCCTTGTAACCTTTCTTGAAGGCAGCTTTCGCCCTACTGATACGAATGAGATCTCCAACGCAATATTTAATCTTTTGCGATCGTTTCTTTAATATGTCGTTTTTCCAACGTGATATATTTTCACGAGTGATACATGCGTTTCCTCTCTTTACTACCGCAGGTTGTATTCTCGTGGACGAATGACGTGTGTGATTGTAAGCGCGTACAATGTCCTGTAGAACATCGACGTAGCTTGGAGTATTTTTATGCGTGAAATAACGTCACATTCACTTCTTCAATGTTCTGTTGAAGCGCTCGACAATGGCGGCTTTAATGTTCGGAATGCGCATTACTCGAAAACGAATGTCGTTTTTATAAGAAATTTCTGCATTGGATGTACGACAAATTATTTACCCTTGTCCGTTTGTAACCCAGTACGTTTATTCTACCCAGACGTATTTGCTTACATCAATAATCATTAACAGAATAGCCGTCATTGTAACTTTTTAGATTTCGATCAAATCTGCCTCCCATACATCGTTAATGTTTGTTACACTGTAATGCAATCGCAGAAATTTTCTACACAATGGTCGGTGCAACGTGTACGCGACTTGCAATTCGAGCCAGCGTTCTCCCCGTGAGAAATTTGGTTTAATGACGAGAGTTAGATTATTCACCGCCGAATAGTTCGCATAATGCGATGGATCGTATAGTTTTTAGTATAGTTTTTCAAACGTCATCGTTATCTTAGTTATTTTCTAATCAAGTAACTGATTTTTTCCCGTTTGCAAAGATACGGGAGCATCAGTTTTTCATGTACGAGAAAGAATCAACAATCTTTCCTCATCTATTTCTTGTTTGCAATTTTTACGTTTTTTTCCTTCCTCGTGCTCTCCATACAATCAACGTGGAACTCGCCCGAGGTCGAAGTTTTACGCTGTTTACAGTAACACCATGCGTGGACAATAATCTTTTATTTCTCACCATTGTATTATAGAACACACGGAATAATCGTGCAAACTGATTTCTACCCATTGCTTTCACAGTTTGTCTCTCGCGCATTGCATTGTTTATTAAGTCAGTGATATTCGAATCTTTCACGACATTACCATCTATAATCACGATTCTATGTTCGTCCCAACTAATTCTATCGGGCACAGCTTTTTGAAACAAATATTTTGTCAGTAAGTGTGTATGCTTACGATAAGATTTCGGTACGCTTTTCAGTATTTCCTCAATGCTTTTCATTGTATGATTATGCTCGCTCGAAATTTCGAAATTTTTCGCAATAATATTTGTATTACTAATAGAATGTGATGGTGATGATATGTCAAATGTTTGCGTGAGATCGTGAAAAACGCCATCGTATGTCGTCTCGTTATTAGCGGAGGCATCTCGTGTAGCATTGTCTTCTATATTTTCGTTTTCGTTTAACGTTTTTCTGTATTCGCGTTTCTTGGATAAATCGTAAGTATTATATAATGCCACTCTGTACATTTTCCACCTCTCGCTTTCGTCACGAGGCCAGCCGGAATTAAGAATACGATTCATCTCCGCATCGAGTCGAGTTAGATGAGTTCCCGAGGTTTGCGTTGTATTATTAGTGCTCGAGGTTATCTGAATTTTACGGTATTGTTATTTCTTTTGACTCTCCGTCAACGAATGATGTCGGATTCTGACATAGCTGATGCATTCTCTCCAGATTTTCCGTGGAAATTAAAACTAAATATTTTTTTAGCCCTCTCCATAACGTTTTGTCCCTACTATTTCGTTCCTTCGATAATTAGTGATAATAAGGTCGTGAATATAGATCCAATAATATAAGATAAAAATCCGCTTCGCTGCACCAACAGCTTTTTTTTATCCTTCCAATTACCACGTTTTGCAATAACGCGACATAGAGTTTTTTTGTATTTGGTTAACCGGTTTTTTTACTCCGTTCGAATGAGGTATTACCTTTGAGTGTATTAAAACACATTCATAGATACAAAAATTAAATTGAATTAGTTTTTCGTCAGCGTTGCGCAAGAAGGTTGTGCGTTGATTTTTGTTCAAATGATAGAGCACCGTGAGGAGACAGGCGTTTCGCTTACCGATCGAATGTGTGGCGATTTTTGTCGCTCTGTGTCATTTCTCGTCACCCACTTTCATCGCGAGAAAAATCTACGATTGACGCGTACAATTACCCGTACTCAACTTTTATACGAATCCGTTGGAAAATGATCTACGCGGCACGTAGACGTAATGAATCGTATCCTCGGGAAAAATACACGTTCAAAATTGATACTCGTCCGGAGTTGATTGTTTCAGATCGAGCAACAAATACCTGTGAGGCTTTGATGTGGCGTCATAGTATGCCTCTTCTAGAAATTTCGGATCGTCTGGATAGACTTGACGCACTAAATGACGAATTTGAATGAGAGAATATAATTCGTTAAGTGATATATCACGCTGGCCACCTCCCTGATAGAATAGATTCTGCGAAATAAGAATAACAGAGATTCTTATGATGATTGCCTTTGGAAAAAAGATCCACAATCGCGTCGCACGACGACGATTCTCTTATAAGATCGTCGATTATCACTAATTTCGGATCATTCGAGTAATTTTCCGGACGGGGTAAGTCCTCTAAATTCAATTATATTCTTCTTTGTCGTTTTAATATTGTTGCATCCCCAACGCTGTTCCTTGAATTCTTTTACGTAGGCTGCTGGAAAAGTTTCTGTAAACAATGAAAAAAAACATGTATTATAAAATTCAATAAATGGCTTTATTGTTTTTCGAAGTATTCGCCTTTAAGATCGATACATTTTTGCATACGTTCGTATCAATTTTCGAAGCATTTTTTCCACTTTAAGGCTGTAAATCAGGCTCAGAAATCAGTGTACGAAATGTTTCAGGCTGCTGCTTCAGGCGACTCAAATCGCTCACCACGCATCTTATTTTTAATGTTTGGGAACAAAAAGAAGTCATTAGGTGATAAATCAGGTGAATACGGATAATGAATCATCAATTCGACATTA